TGTGAACCATACAGAAAGGAGGCTATTCAGGAACTATTTGGGGTGTGATTTTACATGGAATTTCTTGCATTTCCAGTGAGCTAAGCGTACGAGTTTCATATATAATTTTAAAATAAAAAGTATCATTTTGATATTCCCGTAACACCAGTTTCCTAAGACGTTTACCAAACGTAACGTAAAGCATCATTTAAGAGCGACCACACAAACCTATCTGGAAATTTGAGCTCCCTACAAAAATATATCCTCAGAACTCTCTCAAAGAAAGAGAAGTTGAATAAGAACGCCAAGTCACTGATACTCCAATATTCTTCTGTCTCCGTCTTGCAATTCAGATATGTCACATCGGAAAAATAATTACAATTCTTTGCAAGAAGAAGACAGGGCTTTCTCTGTTTTGCTGATGCACTCCTTGCTGGGGAACCTTCCCGAGGGGGAAGCAGTGGTGCCTGCGGTGCAGGATGGGCCCTTCTTGCGGCTCCCCAGCGCGGCGCAGGCGGCTCCCGCGCCGCGGAGGCTGCCCCGGCACGCGGGGCTCCGCGCACACAGCGCGGCGGGAGCTGGCTGCAGCCCGGGGGATCGGCCGGGTCCCCCTGCGTCTGCGGGATCTGCAGGATCCCCCCATGTCTGCGGGATACCCCCCGGATCTGCAGGATCCCCCAGGCACCGCACGCACAGGCACATCTGCGCCCAGCCCGCTCTGCCCGGCCCTGCTGCACCCACCTGCCCTCTCCACTCGCCCCCTTGCTTGTTCTCATTTCTTCTTTCTTTTTTCCTGTATTTTTTATTCTTTTAATGGTCTTTACTTTTGCTTTTTGTCTTTTTTTTTTCATTTTTTTCCTCTCTCTGCCCTAATGGGCAGGACACAGTCTGGCAATTCAGGGACTCACGTAGGCCAGACTTCCTTCTGCGCAGCCCTTTGGGTAGGGCTGCTAATCCTTCTTATTAATTAACAAGATAATAGTGGTTAACCGGAAAGCAATATTAATGCTAACTATCTAGCAAACTTCCAGCAGAAATGACTTAGGCTTCTCCTGATTTCCTGGCAGGAGAAATCCTGCAGCTGGAACTGTAATAGCATCTTGGTGTTTCAGGAACTTAAAAAAAAAAAAAATCAAAAGTTGTCGAAAGTGCATCAGACTAGGGAGATTCGTGTCTATTTTTCGCTGTCTTTCTTGGATAGCTTAGAAGATCATCCCCTCGACTTCAAATGCTATCAAAGTGCAGGCTCCCCCCAGTTATATCACACTTGGACAAGGACAAAGGAGACAGTAAACAGAAACACGGCGGATCTGGGAAACACTCTCTGAGCGGCGCACGCATTAAAACATTTGCGATGTGGAGCACATTCACCACTGCTCCAACCCTGCAGGCTCCCAGAATGTTTCTTGGGGTCTCCCATGCTTCATTCAGCTCATGCTGAAATACCTAGCAGCGAGTTTGTGTTTTATGCATACTGCAGAAAAGAAAAGCTGCAGAGAAAATAGGGGTGTATAAGGGATCTTGCAGAGGAGGCAGACACATTGCTGCAGACACACTTCAGAAAAGCAGCCGTGCAATTTACTTTTTACTATTATTTTATATTTTTTCCCCCCACCGACCATTGTACGGCTAAGCAAAACACCCAAAAGGAGAAGGGATTTATATTATCTGGGCTCTGTTGCAGCAAACAAGTACTGCGGCTTTTCATTCAGCGATTGTCAGAAAACTTTCCAATGTGCCCACTGCAATGCGGATGCCAACCAACGAATCAAAGGCATTCAGCAACGAGACAAAGAGGGTCTGATGCCAACCTCGGTGCCACTGGCAACCGTTATTGGCACCGCGCGCATTGTCTGACGGGCTTTTTTTCTGCTCTCCTGGCACTTGACGAACAAAATGGCGCCTCCCGGGGCCGCGGCGGCAGGGCGAGCCCCGCGCGTTTTTTTAAAAGAAGGCCCCAAAGGAATGCTTTTTCAGTAAGGTTGATGTTGATAGGAAACACTGATTGCAGGGCACGGTCCCCACTTTCTTTCTCCATTTCAGTCAAGGGAACTGCATTTCAACCTACACCTAAGCGTCTTTTTATTTTTCTTAATTTTTTTTTATTTTTTTTATTTTTTTTATTTTTTAAGATGCGGAAACACAAGAAGGTGAGAGAAGAGGGGAAAAGAGGCTGAGGGAGAGGAGCATAAAGGAGAACCCCATCTAGCTGCTCAAAGACAAAGCCCGATACGTTGGTCCTTATTTCTTCCTTCAGGAGAGACATGGAAGTAGAAGCTCTTTTAGTAAGGAACTGGAAGGATTATTGACACTGGATCTGGATCTGGAAATTGTCAATATATTGTAACATTACTCTGCACTGCAATGCGGATGCCAACCAACAAATCACAGGCATCCTAGGCTAAACAAAGAGGGTCTGATGCCAATCCTGGTGCCACTGGCAACCATCACTGGCACTCAAACTATCCTTCCTCCTCTTTTTTCTCCTCTCTTTTTTTTAGCAACAAAAAACACACTACTTTACCCCTTTATTAATCTTATTTGCTCATTCCTTCATATTTCTTTCAGGGACTGAATTGTTTCTGTTTCTCTACTTAGTTTAATTTGACACCATTACTGGGATTTTTATATTCTAAAAGGGAACTTACTTAAAAGGAAAGCAGACTGAGTAAGGTGCAGCATTTTGATTGACTTCACACTTATCTTTTCCAAAGCCTGGTATTCTTTATGAAGCGCACTAGGAAGCGCCACAATTAGCCTGCTTTCAATGAGGGTAGGGAATCAAAGTTTGGCAAAAGGGAAAAAAAAATGAAGATAACTTAATATGACTTCTTCAAGTAGAGAGCCACCAGATGTTAGCAGAAGATTTACTGCAGAGCAGCGAGAGAGACACAAAATACACGCAGTTTACAATAAACAAAAGGGTCTACTAGGAGTGACTTGATACAAAGAAATCAGCCAGCTTCATCTGCCAGCATTTCCCTCCTTATAGCTCCTTATAACTTCGGAAGCAACAACATTACGGTGCGCTTATCTATCTCACTCATTCCTATTCAGATAAATGTTTTGAACACACCCCTATCCTCAGTCCCTTTGAATTAATAAAATCAGCAATTGCTCTGCAATTTTTTCCCTATTTCCTACGCAAAGCTTAAAAATCCACGCTGTATATGGGTACGCTGGCCCCAGTTTATTTGGCTCAAGAGCTGCTTGATCTATTTTGCCTCCCTTTGTAGTTTTGACTATCATGGAGAGGTAAATGCGCCAGAATTAATCTGCGAGCTCTGTCTCAAAATGCATGTATTCAAAATACCATTTGACTTTCCCCGCACAAAAGCAACTGAAAGGTACAAATCACATATAGTTAAGATATTTTGTTTGATGCTGTCACAGCATGCTTTCTTTCTGTGTTATTTGGGATCAAATTTACCACACTTTGCAGCCACTTAAAGTCACTGAAAAACATTTAAGTGTTGTATACATTGTCTACTGCTGTGGAAAAAAAAGAAAATGTAGTAAATATAAGCAAGGAAGAAAGACAATGAACCATATTTTTTTACAACAAATAATCTAAAAGGTTGGACTAAATTTATATGTTCGTGTAAACACAAAGCACCAATTGGACAATTAAATTCTAAAAAATAAATTCATTAAAAGTAAAAAAGTTTGTGTTGTGTATCATTCTTTTCTCATAAAGAATGAATACTCACAGATGATAGCAAAAACCTATAACCAAACAAAGGTATGTGCAATTTTACTTTTTTTATTATTAATAAAACCTTTTTGGTTTAGTTGTGATTCAAATCCCATCGTTACATATTGAGCATCAGATAGCAGCCTGCCATCTGCCCTTCTGCAGGCCATTTCTGCCTACAACCAGGCCAAGTCGTGAAACGGCCCACCATCTGCGGCCGTTCAAACTTTCCTTAGCTTAGATTTGCAGCTAAAAAGCAAATCGCTCTTTTACTGCTGATCAGTCACCAAAATCAAAACTTATGCAGGATGATACAATCATTCAGATAAACCAAAATGACCTTCACAGAGAAAATGCTTTACACAAAACACAGAATATGAGAAAACTTTTGTCTGCTGACATCCACTTCTGGCTTATAGGAGCAGCATATGAATATTGCTATCGGAATACCCAATACAGCTAGCAGCTTTTTCCCTGATAAATAAATATTATCAGCTGGTTTTCTTTTAATTTGGCAAAACTAAGTTGAAGTAGCTCTTCCTTAGTTAATCTGCAACTTCCCAAATTGTAGCTATTGGCCAAATAAAACCTGTATACCAGTGTGATTATGAAAATAAAATTTAAATGGAAAATTCTCTGGAAATATGGCAATGTGGGTCTTTGCTGTAAAGTTCAGGCAAGTAACATGAGCTAGTGAGGCAAAGTATGAATAAAAATGTAAGTATTGTGCGCTGTAATTCTGAATGCACACAGTGTTTACAAACCAGGATGTCTTCAATAAAGTTATGTCAAGTTCTATTTCCTAATGGTGAGAAAATCTTCAAAGTAGTTGCAGATATATCAGTTCAAGGACAAACTGATGATTATTAGTAACTAAAAAGGTGGGAGTAAATATTTTAATCATCTATGCTTTTGTGCAATTGCACATACCCTGCTTCTGTTGCTAACAGTACTGGGGAAGAAGGAGACTAAAAAAAGAACGTTTTATGAGGTTGTAATTGGAAAAAATACACAACATACCACCACTCTTTGACAAAAAGTGAAAACTCAGAGGAATTAAGGTGCTTCTTTGGTATGTCCTACCCTGTCTTGAAAGAGAACTTAGCACGTATGTCAAACATACATGTCATTTGCACAGGTCTGCAAAAGCGTGTGCATCTGCATATACATATATATGCTGATTTACATAGGTATATGTACCCATATTTATTATGTCTCTCGACCACGGAGTAATGTTTCGCTGGAAGTCAGCCCTTAGGGAAAACAGGGCAGCTTGGGATCAAAGCCTGACACACTAACACAGAAAACATGACAGTCTGCTTCCTACCTTGCTCCTGCACGTAGTATGCCAAAAACAAATCAAGCTCCTTGACGGATACTGTTATGTGATGCGGCTGGACGCAAAGTGCTGGATTTGTGCAATGTGGGGATTTCATGAGTCGCTCTCCATCCGTACTTTCCAAGGGGATGCCTTTGAAGAGGATCACCATGACTAGATCCAGACGCCAGACTTTGTCAGCCTGCCGCAGGCAGTCGATTCTCCTAATCTTACCCTTCTGGTCAGGATTGGACAACACACAGCATGGGTGCTTCTTCCCAGTCACCGTGAGCACAAAATCCTCCCGGAACTCTTGGCGAATATCTTTGCGCAGCTTGGCGAGGAGCCGGGATGCCCACTTTTGCTTGATTTCGGGCTTCTCACTGAGCAGCTCATCCTTGACAGCTCTCTCCTCATCCTTCGACATCCGCTTCTCGTGCTTTTTGAAGTACTTGCGTTTTCGAGCCTGGAGGTTGAACCACGTATAAGCAATTGCACGGACATGTGGAAGAAGTGCCTCAATGAATGGGTGAAATTCATCCTGTGGAAAGAAGTGGAGGAGGGAGAAAAAAAAAAGAAGAGGAAAACTCAAAGTTAGTATATTCTCACTCAAGGCAGCATCACAACACATCTCTGAAAATCTAAGAGCAAAATCCAAGATGAACAGAATAAAGACTAAAAATTTGCTTAAAAATTTACGCAAATTTCTGCACTAATATCTCATATGCAATTGCTATTGCTGTCAAGCAACGGACAAAAGTACACAGAGAATCTCATTTTCCCCACATTTCACTCTTTGAAAGGAGCATTTAAAGATTTTATTTTGTATGCCTTCCCTCGCTTCACCCCGCCATGCTGCGGAGACTACATTCCTCAATTCCCCAAAAAAAAAAAAAAAAAAAAAAAAAATCAAGATGTTTGATTCCTAACATTTAAACATCCGAGCAAACAGCTAATACCAAGAAAAGTACCATTGCACAGAGAAGACACTACACGGTTTTAAAAAATCTGAGCAGAATGGTTGAGAAGGCTGAGGCGAATGCCACAGTTCATTTCTCTCCTCTGTGGTACAGAAACACAAAGCATATACATGCTCAGTGCAATGCCACACAGTTCCCGCTTTTGGAGCATGCTCTCAGCAAGAGCCTGCTGGTGGCACAAAGAGCATGCGCCATTAAACTTGATCCATTTTCTTATCAAACGTCCAACATTCCAGCACTGAAACAGCACCATTCCAGTGGTGGTAACTAGAGAAACCAGTACACGGCAAGGGAAGAGGGCAAAAGACACAGCATGTTGCACAAAAAGCCTGCACAGAAGCCTCTGCACCTCTAGCTCGTCAGGCTCCCCTCCCGCCACCCCCAAACTCTGCAAAATAGGAGTTTATGAAGCTGGGAACAAAAATTACACTAACGTTCTTACAGTGGCTCTGCTATGGGGTTTGAAGCCCCATAGAGTCAGTTAATTTGTTAACTGATCACATGAGCGTGGCAATTATTCCAAACCCCTTAAAAATCAACCTGAGGTGTACAATGAAAAATGGCAACTTGGCACAAACTTTGCATTCTTTGTGTTTCTGCATGCTGTGGCAGAGTGACATTACGAGTGCACCACTGGTCAAAAACCGCTTTTGTGAAATCCGTGCAATTTATTTACAGTTCTAAAATATCCTTTCCTGTCATCTGGCTTCACCTGCAAGTTCTTATCTCCTGCCTAGTAGCAGTATGTGTTGCATTAAGGAGATAATGCTTAGTTGTCATCTACAAGTACATCCTATAGCAATTAAATTAATTCATTTTGTCTGCTTAAAGTATCATCCTACACAACCATGTTAATATCTAAATAGGCCTTTCCAAAACGCAATGTCTCTTCCCTGTGAACAAATCCACTGTTTAAAATGGCATCAGCAGCTTATCAAACACTGCTGCACTTTGGCTTGGAGGGGAGACCTTAGGGGAGGTATCTCTCTTTTGGTGTGTGCGCCTATTTGGTTTTAAATACTATGCAGATTGTTCATCGTACTGAGTGACACAGTGCAATCAAACCAAGACTCTGCCTGTTTTATATGACCGCGTTCAAGAATACAATTAACAAACTAATATTTTAGCTACACTGCTAGACACAGAATGAATTATATTTAATCAGTAGGCTGATTAACTCCATTAGGTAAAAATGATGAAAGTATAACTAATGGTCTCATAATTACACAGAGTTCAGCCTGCCATTGTGGAAGCTAACTAGCCTTCAGGCCAAAAATTTAGTATTTAAATCTTCAAATTTCGAACAAACTCCCAAATTTCCTGAATGTTAAAAACTTCCATACTCCTCCTCAAACCAAACAGAAAACAACAGAAAAGTTGGAAGCAGTTTATCTATGGCCATGTTACCTTCACATCAAAAAAAAAAAAAAAAGGAAGGAAGGAAGAGATGATTTTGGAACATAATAGCATGATGTTTAACAAAGAGCCACGGTAGTGGCAACAATTAAACCAAGCAGTATTTTCAGCAGAGGTTTGCACAATTCTGGCGCTATACTGGCACATAAAACTAGGCCGTGGAAGGAGTTAAACCACAATCTGTTCTTTGTGTGGGAAGGCAATACTGCTCTGAGTAACCACAGCCCATGATAAGACTTCCCTATCTTCATATGCCTTCCGATGCCATGCTTTTTTCCCCTCATTTATAACTGCTACAGAAAGTTTATTTTCTCACCTACAGAACTCATCTCAATCAAAGCACTTTGAAAAAAAAATAATAAAATTTTAATTTAGCATAAACAGAAAGAGTGCATAGTGTTAATCTTTCCATTTCATTTTAGACTGAATAAAACAGATTTACTGCAGATTTGGGAAACTCTAAGAGCGAAGGGCTAAAGGCAGGGGCTGATAGCCCCCAAGAAGATTTTCTGTCCCGATTTTTCGCACACCCAAAACAGACTTCAGCAAATATACCTTACAAAAGCCATAAGATTACTACGGAAATAGTATGCGCTATTAGAATACTGCAGATCTAGTTTTCCTTTTTAATAGGAATATGACAAACTATTTTGGAATGGCTTTACCTTTAGTGACTGCGCACACTATTAACAACAATAGGCAATAGTATTTTAATATTATGCATAAATATTCTATAGAGTGAAACATCAGTTTTTAAATACAGATCTCCAGGTGGTTGAATATTTTGCTTTTAAAAGGAATGGGGGGATTTTTTTTTACTGTGTTTAGGCTTTTCTTTCATAATATCATTAACTCCTAAAGCTATAAATATATCTGAAAGAGTG